CCGAGTGTAAGAGCGGTAAGAGCCCCCATCCCTGCTTCCTCTCCTCCTGTCCCTCTCCCCCAGCCCAAAGAGGACAGCAAGGTCCACAACACTTTTTGTTTTGAGCTCCAAAACCTTATGTTCACACACTGTTTGTCCTCCTTGCTGCAGGAGACTACTGGATTGACCCGAACCAGGGCTGCACCTTGGACGCCATCAAAGTTTTCTGCAACATGGAGACAGGCGAGACCTGTGTCTACCCCAACCCCAGCAGCATCCCCAAGAAGAACTGGTGGACCAGCAAGACCAAAGACAAGAAGCACGTCTGGTTCGCAGAGACCATTAACGGCGGTTTCCACGTAAGTGTTCCCCCTGGGCTGGTGCTGCTCACCAGGAGAGGGAAGGGAGGTTGAGCAGAGGAAGGTGTTGGGCATCTAGTTGGAGGGCTGGGATGTTCTTCCTTGGGGTTGTGTTGATGGACGTTATACAAGGGACTCGTTGTTCTAGAGGATGGTGTTGAAAGCTTAAACTTGGGTCAGTTGGACTTTGATTTTTGCAGCCATCTGGCAATAGAAAGTAAGGAAGTCTCCTCAAAAGGTGGTGAAAATAGGGTTGCTGTGACACCCGCAGGCTTTAATGTCTCGCCTCTTCCCTCCAGTTTAGCTACGGTGATGAAGATCTGGCTCCCAACACAGCCAACATCCAGATGACCTTCCTCCGCCTCCTGTCCACCGAAGGCTCCCAGAATGTCACTTACCACTGCAAGAACAGCATCGCCTACATGGACGAGGAGACGGGCAACCTGAAGAAAGCCATCCTCATCCAGGGTTCTAACGACGTGGAGATCAGAGCTGAGGGCAACAGCAGGTTCACATACAGCGTCTTAGAGGATGGTTGCACGGTAAGTCCACTGGCACCTGCGAGAGAAAGATGTAGGTGATGAGTTGGGGTTCATCCAGTGATATTGGTGTTGGCTTGGAGGGCTCAAGAGCATCTAAGAACATCCTTCCTCCTTGTTTTCTCCCCAGAAACACACTGGCAAATGGGGCAAGACAGTCATCGAGTACCGATCACAGAAGACCTCGCGCCTGCCCATTGTAGATATTGCACCTATGGACATTGGTGGAGCCGATCAGGAGTTTGGCGTGGATATTGGCCCAGTCTGCTTCTTGTAAAAAGAATTGTTTTATTTGTGTGTTTGTTTGTTTGTTGTTTGTTGGTTTGTTTTGGTTTTTTTAAATCCAGCCCAATACCATAAAAGAAAACTCAAAAAATCCCCCCAAACTCATCCCAAGGACCTGAGTACTTTTCCAATCGCTCGTACGACTTCTGCACTGAATGGCTGCAACAACCCCTCGATTGATGCCCTTCCATCGAGGATCACCGCCTCTTTCCAACGCCGTCCGCGGAGGCAGGCTGCGAAATGACAAAAAAAAACCAACCCCATGGTTTTATTTATTTATTCTCTTCCTGTAAGACCTATTTTTTAGGTCAGGTGGAGGTGGAAATCTAACCGGCAGGTACGATGGCCCTTCCCTGCAAAAGGGATCTCACAAATCCAGGTATTGCGAATCCCCTCCCATCCCCATCCCTCCCTGTGTATCACCAGCAGGAGTGCTAATGTATAATACGACAAAAGAAAAAATCATGGTGCTATTCTTGTAAAACAAGTCTGTATTTTTTAACATCAGTTGATATTAAAAAAAAAAAAAACTTTTGGTGGAAAGTACAAGGCGATCTGGGTTTTGTTTTTGTCGGTTTGTTGCGGCTTAACTCCTTTCTCCTCATTTCTCAGCCATGATAAAGGAGGGTTTTGGGTCAAATCTTCAAGTTTTTTGGGTTGAGGCTACCTCACACTAAAGTGAAAAAATCCAAAACCAAATAAACCCCCCCAAAAAAACAAAAAAAGGAAGGGGAAAACCATTTTAAGTGAAAAATCTTGAAACACCAGGAGCCAACACAACAGCATGAGGTTTTTGTTAAGGGATCTCTTGTCTCATTGCACCCCAAAACAGAACTGGGGTGAGTCAAAGGAAACCAGTAAAACCAGTGGGGAGGGGGTCACTGAGACCAACCCTCATGGCCATGGTCAGGGGTGGCCTCTAACCCTCCTCCTCATGGAAATTATCCAATTTTGTACATGTAAAAATTGAATTTCAGGGCATATTTTACCATACCGAAGGCAGTAGAGTTTGCAGCCATCGTGTGCTGATCTTGTAAAGCAGCTGCACCTTTACACTTCTATAAAAAAATGATATATGTAAAGTCTTCTCATACTCACTAATTAGGAAAAAAGCCTCAGTAGCTGAATTTTTTTATTATTTTTTTTTACGATCTTAAAGAAAATTGGCCACTGACCCCACAAGAGTTACAAACATGCTCCGGTTTTCTATGCAGGATGCAACAGGAAGCTGTTGACTGGGGGTTTTTGGAGTTTCATGACAGTGCTTGTGTTCGAACCTCAGCTTTTTCCATCCACTGACAGCACAGGCACTGCAGTTTTTCATTAAGAGAAACTATGACTTTAAAAGGATTTTAAAAAACCGTTTTTAAAAAATGCTACTTGGGGGCCCTGATCTCAATTTTAAGCCCTCACAGCTGGCACTGCAGCAGCAACCGCTCCTGCTAAAAGCACCTGAAGCAGCTTTCACAGGGCTGGGATCTTTAAAAAACATTGGCAGAAGAAATTCATTAAAAAAGACTGAAGGATTAGGAAGGATTTTCAAACTAAAATGCCCTTTAAAAGGCCAAGTGCCTTTGCCACATGACCCACAGGTCACCCCTAATTATTAGTGCTCTGGCTCACCGCTGTCAGCTGTCACACAACTAATTTGGGGCAAAGCTGTTCTGTTCAGCCAAGCAGCAGGTTGAGGGTTCCTGCTCTGGGGATCCCATAAGCACCCCAAAAACCACCTAGTTAAAAGCAAACCCAGCCATGAGGAGCAGGATGGGATAGGTTATGTCAGCTAAAGACAATGACACAAGTGGGAAAGATGATGTTGGGGATCAGGAGGCTGTGGCACCCCAAAAAGAGAAGCCAAATGAGCCAGGACTGAGCCCCACCTGACTACAGCGACTGAGGAAACTCAGGAAATGAGATGGATAAAAAGCAAAGTTGGTGATTTCCTCATCTTCCTTAAAAAAAATAAAAGTTGATCTCATCATAAATCGGGGGGTTTACAAAAGTCATGTGAGAAGCTCGTGACCAAGATCACCAGGGACTGCGCAGCGTGACAGTCACTGAAGTTGGGTGGTTGACTCCGGTGCTGCTCCCCAGTTGAGTCTCTTTGCCCCCATTCCCCAAAAACCATCAGCAAGAGAATTGGTATTTCTGGGTAAAAGATGATGTGATAGCAGTCAGAATACAGAGCACTAACTCTAGGACAAAGTTTGGTTTCCACAGAAGGAGAAAGCCACAAAGGACACTGCACAGTAACATCCAGTTTGGCTTTAGTCAGTAGAATTCAGTTCTAGAAACCCCACGAGGCAGAAATGCCACTTCTTAAAAAAAAAAAAAAAAAAAGCAGCAAGGTGCGATTTTATTTCATGTTCACAGAAAATATCCTTCATTGAAAACCACCACGATCCATTTTCCTCGCAGCCTTTACCAGTGCTTTGTTTCCATGCGCACACACACACACACACCTGAGCATCCAACAGGCAGTGAGGAAACAGGGGCAGCTGTAGTGATCAAGTTCCAGAGAAACTACAAAGGGCAGAAGCAGAATTCAATCCTCCAAGCTGTGAACAGCACAAGTCTGCAGCGAGAACGGTGACAGGTCAAGCGCTCCCAGGTACTTGCTTTAAGAACAGAGCTGATACCATTCGTGGGGAGCTGGCGGCTGCTGGGAGGTAAGCCTTCGAAACGCCAAACTCCCACAAAAATCACACTCATTTTCAACAGGCACAAGTACAACACTGAGCTATGAATTCCCTGATTTCAAACCCCAAAGACCCTGCAGCTGCCAAACGGGGTGAGATGAAGGTTTAGAGCCACACAGGGAGGAGGAGGAAGATCTTCGTTAAGACCAGGGTGGTTTGGTTACTGGTTTGCTGTAGGTGGCCTCAGTTGCCAGCAAACAAAATCTGCACAACAGAGAAAGTGTATTTTGAAAGGTTTTAATTGCTTTACCTCCTTCTAGTGGAAATTAGAGGTGGAAGCCTGATCTGTGCATCCCTCATGAGAGCTATCCCTTTTTATCAAGCCTGGCTTTGAAACAAGCCAGTGACACGCTGCCACTGAAGAAAAGTAGAATAAATTAATTGCACAGAACTTCTTAGTTTACCCTGAAAGGGCCCGACACAGTGCTAAGCTTCAAAATACCTGCAAAAGTCTAAATCTTTGGGATCTGCATGACCTCAAAGCATGAAGCTTGAGAGTCCAGTTTCCCTACCAAAAACTAGATCTTCAGAACCAAAGAGGAAAGCAGGTTAAGCAGGACCTGGACTTTGGGAAGGGACCTGCGTGCTTGCACATGAACAACACCTCAGGTGGGTTTCATGGACAAAAGCTGCACATGGAAGAGCACAAAAGGGACCCAGAGCTTTCAAACATCTCCCACCACAGTCACTCGTGATCTTCTGTTTCCATTTGAAAGCTCCTGATCCCTTCTAAAAATCCATCTGCACAACCATCCGCTGGTGGAAAGCATCAGCTGCGCCCTCAGGAATTGCTCTTGGCTTTGGCTGTCAAGGACGAGGGCAGAGAGTCCTGGGCAGCGGTGGAGTTGGTGCTGCAATCCACATAGTGGTAGGTTTCCAAAGCGCTCTGCGTCATGTGGCCGATGTATGAGAGCTTCACTGATGTCCTGGGAGGGGGGAAAGAACAGTTTAGTGGGGACAGGACCAGCAACCCTTCTATCAAAATAAAAAACCCAGCAGGTTTTACACTCATCACAACTCCTCTTCCCCCTCAAAAGCTGCAGTTCCTCTCAGATTTTTGCTCAAGATCACTCACTGCAGCAGACAGGGAAACGCAGAGCTGGTGAGGACAAGCCCTGGAGTGCACCACCCCTCACATGAAAGCTCAGCACAGAGCAATCTGATGTCTTCTCCTCTCTATCTTACGTTTCACCCAACTGTGTCAACTGGCCTGGATTAAAAGCTGACACAGTGAACCAGGCTGGGGTTGGTTGCCAAGAAGGATTTTCTACCCTAGATTTGCTGTGGCAGCAATTCCCTTTTGAGTCAGGAGCTGAGCAGAGAACCACCTACCTCATGAAGATCACGATGTTATGTACCTTCACCTTGGGGAACGTGCAAAAGAAACTGGAAGAGACCAAAATAAAGAAATAGTTCATCTCAGGCTAAGCAGGGTTGCAGACATTTGCGTTTGTCGGTATTTTCTGATGGTATTTTCCCTTTGGTGACAACTCAACTCGAGACACGGTCCAAAAGCCACGTCACAACATCCCGACAAAGTGGCCTTTCAAGTCATTTCTAGCAAACAGTTACTTTCCAGGAAGTTAGCAGAAAACAAGTCATTTCAAGAGCAAATTCTAATTAGAGCCGCTTAAACCCACCCTTTTCCCCAGCTTTGTACAAAGAACAGTAAATCCTTACTACACGTAGGAGAAGGGCCCACCCAGCTCGGCCTTCACAGTGAAATTCACCTGGAAAAGAGAAAAGAAATTCACATGCAGCTTGAGTACTAAATTAAATCCATCGCTTTCGGAATCTTTCCTACGTATCTTTTAGCCGTGTGCATAAGGCACAGGCTACTGTTGCCATGAGACTAGTTTGCCAAGGAAAGCTTTAAGGTACAAGTAGACTGTGATATCCTGTCATTGTTTAACATCTTTATCCATGATCTGGACAAGAGGATCGAGTGCACCCTCAGTCAGTTTGCAGAGGACGCCCGGCTGGGTGGGAGAGTTGATCTGCTGGAGGGTCGGGAGGCTCTGCAGAGGGATCTGGCCAGGCTGGATCCATGGGCCGAGATGAATTGTATGATGTTTAACAAGAAAGTCCTGCTTTTGGGTCACAACAACCTCACACAGCGCAACAGACTCAGGGAAGAGTGGCTGGAAAACTGCCCAGCAGAAAAGGGCCTGAGGGTGCTGGTCAACAGCAGCTGAACATGAGCCAGCAGTGAGCCCAGGTGGCCAAGAAGGCCAAGGGCATCCTGGCCTGTACCAGGAACAGTGTGGCTAGCAGGACGAGGGCAGTGATTGTCCCCTTGTGC